TCAAATTTAGCACTTGGCATTTGTATGCGTCAGCATTACAGTACTACAGTGATGGAATTGAAAGTTTGTTGTGTTTTTTGTACAATACACTATAAACAGAAAGTCTGTTGTTAAATTAAATCCATGCAAGCATTTATTTCACCAAATTTGTTTACATTCACTTCTGGAACAACCAGAACCACCTTGTCCAATTTGTATACATGAAATACATACAACTGAACAAGTTGAAAGAAAACATAATGTTTTATCTTCATCGAATGATAGAAGAAAAGTTTTTGAATGTGCTGAGCAAACTTTAGGTGTCAAATATAAGACATACAATTGGGTCTGGTCTTTTTTGTCACTTTTTATTTATCATATTATTTATTGAAAACAGAAACATATGGTCATGTTGGCTAAATTAGGATCCGACCTAAAGTTACAAGGTAAACTAATTCAACAAATTTAAAAAATACTAAGAACACCTTTTTGATAATCTATATTATAAACTTTTCTCAATTACAACTTTTATTTTCTCAATTATATCTTACAATTTTTTGTTTAAAACTTTTATTAAATGGATATAGCATTATGATTATATCTAGAACATTGAATGTTTTTTACATATAATCATAATGCTAGTAACTGTAAAGAAGCTTAGATTTTGTAAAAAAAAAAATTGTTGTTCTAAACTTATTTTATACATAGGTAAGCATATTGTTGAGCCTTAAACTACTTTAAGTATGTTTTTGAGCACAGTACTGATAGTAACTAATATTATACTATACTTATTTTGATTTTTAGGTTTTTTTACTATTTTTAGATATTATTAAAGATTAGCTGTGTTATACAAAAAGATGAAGCCTTAGTTCTTTTATATAACTCTGCTAATCTCTAATAACTACTTATTATTACTTATCTAAACTGTACTACTAAATTTGTATTATAATGTTTTCATATAATATATTATGTTATATTATATACTTTGTGATATATATTACATTTAAACAATAATTTTTTTTTTTTAAAAATACTGATAATTTCTTTTTAAAAACAATAAATTAATAATATACTCTCTAAATAAAACCAAAACTTTTCTTTGTTAGATAATTTATTTGAATATTAAAGTTGATTAAATTCCAAAAATATACAATAATAAAGTAGACAGTAAAAGATCTTTTAGTATACTTCAGAATTAGGTTATGAAGATTTTCATGTTTTTCATTTCCGTAACAGCCTAATAAGCATTTTATCAATTATCTTGTAAAGAATCAAAAATTATTAGACTTAAAGCATGGATTCAGGAAAGGAAAACCATGTTTGACCAATTTATTATTATTTTTGTAAAATCATGTTTGACCAGTTTAAAATTGTTTTTGAAAAATCATACGTTATCAATTCATTATTGTTTTTGTAGGGGTAACAGAATTTGTTGACAATAAAGACTGTAAATGTGATATACTTAATATATCACATTTACAGTCATGTAAATGTGATATATTAAGTATATCACATTTACAGTCTTCATTGTTTGAAACTTCATATATAATTGCAGCAATAGCTGTATTACAAATAGAAAAAACTATTTTACACAAAAACTATTTTACACAAAAAAAATTTTAATAGTTTAAAAAATATATATAACAGTTAATTTTGTGAAATAAATTCTTTGTATCATTTCATATCAACAAACCTATTATATTTTATTTTAATTTTTATCACTTATTATTTTTGTAGTTACATTTAATAAAGGTATTAATAATGTTATCATTCATAAGGTATCAATAAGGTATCAGTAGTGTTATCACAAAACAAAAACCTTTTTCTCCTATTTGAGTTTTGGTAGCAAAGTGCTGCGGCTCCTAATTTTACAGACTAATATTACTAATTCTTTAGGAATTAGCAGCTCTGAATCTGTTGTTATTGGAGACTGGGCTTGGATAAGAACTATTTTAATACATTTGCTTAACTTGACAAAGCGTTCAACCATATCAAATCTTGAGTTCTAACCTGTCTTGCATAGGTTTAAGTTCATGTCCAAATTCTGGTTTTACATCCTTCTGCAATATACCATCCTTTTTAGCAGGTGGTTTAAACAACTTATTATTGTGCTACCTTTTTTTGAAACTGAAACTGAACTGTTTTCAAATTTGATGTAGCCCAGCTCTTCACATTTATTAAGTTCTTCACTGTCATCCTCATTGTTATCCTCTCTATCATTAATTTCAAAATTATTGTTTTGGTCTTAAACTTTATTTGGTTTCACACAAAATACATCTCCTACTGCAGGCCTTGTTAAGAAATAGTATGCCATTTGAATTTTGCGTACGAAATGGCAATTTTACATACACGCCAAAACATTTTTCAGTTATTATTTAAACAGTGTTTTAAAATAGTTTATGCGGAAAACATTAGGCAGTAATTAATTGTTGTAAAAAATATTGATGAAATATTTTTTTATTAGATAAAAAAAACTGGTTTCTATTTTCCGTTTTTTACATATATTTTTTACAAAAATATTTTACATAACAAATCTATGAAAAGATGGTTTTTTCAGTTTTAAAATTGCTTTTTAACAAAAGTTTTTTTCTGAAATGAATGACTAGTAACTAGTGAAAGAAATGAATAACTAGTTTGTGATTAGTATTCAAATATTTTGTTAAAGCCAAAATGATAAAAAAAAATGTTGATATTTTTTGTTTATTTTTTGACCATTAAAAAGTTCATCCAACATAACATGATTGTTGACAAAAAACTTTGCTTAACTTTTACTTAAAAATTGCATAAAAGTTTATGTAATAAAGTGTCAAAACTTTCTACACTTCAATAAAAATTTCAAACTTTGAATGCTTAAAAATTAAATATCTAACTAATTTATAATAATATATTAAACCAAAACTTCATTAATATCTTTGATTTTATACAGGTTCAATCACTTTCTATTTGTTAATAACTATTGTATTTAAAATTCAAAATGTTCAAATATCAAATACTTTTGTGTCAAATATAATTTAACAAACTAAATATTTATACTGATATCTTAATATTGGTCAAGCTTTTAATAAAAGTCTATTTACTAAAAAAGTTGAAGCTAAACGAAACTAAAAATTAGAACTATAACAGAAAAATTCAAAATATAAATCTCTTAAGAGTCCGAGTTAATTCTACTGTTTATTACTATTTGTTATATGTATTTTTTATCAAAACTTAGGAAGTGAGCTCACATACAACCAAACGTTAATTGACCCTTAATGTCTTTAGCAAGATCCAGTAAAATATTTTAAATGGAAATTGAACTAGAAAATCTTTTTGTTCTTTGGCTAAAGCAAATTCTCATAACCTTTTTTCTTTTAGCAGCAGTTTAAATGTCTAATAGTGTTAAAAGTCCATAAATTGCAATAATATCTGTTAGTATATATTAGATCTTTTGCTTGAACAAAATTTATGTTATCTTTTTTTGCATCACATTCGTGAAGCCTCTTTTGATTGTTACAATTGCGTTACAACTTTTGCATTGAGCAGTTTCATTTACTTTCCACTTTAAGAAATGCTCCCAAACAGGAGTATTACTTTTAAATTCTTGAAAAGTCATTTTAAAATTGTTTTTCTAAATTGTTTTGAAATAATATGCTTCAAAGTGCAACAGTTTAAAGCTATGTGTAGCTATAATGGTACATAATATGAACGCGTAATGTAATTTTATGTAGATATAACATGGAATCGAATACTTGAGCCAAATAGATTCGGATTGGATTTTCAAAAAAATAGCACGGGTACCAGGGTATTCTGTTCCAGATCTTGGATCCAACTATGCCCTATATTTAAGTTTAATAGTCGACCTGAGTCTGAATGAATGAGTCTAGGATGAATGAGTCTAGGATGAAGCAAATTTTATTAAAATTTTAAAACTAGTAATCATTTTATACATTAAAAAAAAAAATTGTTTTTACTACTATAAAAATGAGAAAAAATGCACTTTTTTATATTTTGTTTAAAACTGTTGTTTTTATTGCAGAAAAATATTAGCTAGTATATATTATTACATATGTTTATTTTCTTAAAGAATGTTCTTGTTTTAACTTTTTTGGTTGTTTTATACTGTTTTTATTTTTTTAATTTCTTTTTACTTTATCAAGTGATTTATTTAGGGATTCACACAACAGAGTGCTCATGCTTATACTGGTATAGGCGCATTGTAGTGTATATGCATTAATTGACTATCTAGGGATTGGTGTAGTGCTTTGACATCAAACATACCAACCTTATAGATAATTACTTTATTTCCTAAGCATGATTTAAGATGAAATTTAATTAATTTTTTTTTCAATATTTTTGTAATACTTTATCGATGCGCAAATTAATAACAAAGGAATTAAATTTGAAAGTATCAGTTTCATAGCATATCTCATAGGTAGATGCAATATTACAAAAATGTCACTAATCCGTGTTTGTTAGATGCGAAATTGACTGAGGAAATAATCAACATAATTCCGACCCCTTGAATGCCATATTTATGAACACCGTGTAAATTTGTTGATCTCCTTACTGATAAAAATTTGAAAAACTTTTTTAAAAAAAAACCTGTTATCAGGCTGTAATGTAAGTTGTTTTGATAGACTGGATATTACCTAATTGAATATGTAGCATCTATATGTAGATTAACTTTTTAAATCTTTGCTTCTTATATTTTACAGGACTCTAATTGATAGCAGTTGATTATTTTTAATGAAAGTGGCAATCCTATTTTAATATTTTTAAATAAATTAATATTAAAATATATAGAAGGTTTAATAATTTTTTAATTTTCAAACGCTATAAATATCATATATGTTTTAAATAATATTAAAATAATGAGGAGGAAATGAATTCAGCTAATTTTTTAATTTTCAAACGCTTATGGAGCTAATTTTTTTAAATTTTAGAGGCGGTATACCCAATCCATAGACAATGCTAAAATACACAAATATGTTAGTGTTATTCTTTTAGTCTTTTAATATTAGGTTAACCATTGTTTGATTTAGATGCTGGATGCTGTTTTGGAATGAAACTTGATGTATTCAATTAAGAGAAAATAAATAAGTTTGTGGAGTCCATCTTTCCATTTTAACTAAATATCCAAGATATATTTGCAATAAAGATTTCTACATAATCGAATTCAATCTAAAAAAGTACATCGATATGTGTAAGATCCCGCTTAATTTCATAAGAAAATATGAAGTAATGTATAAAACCCTAAACAGACAATGTTTGCTGTCTCTGAGGAAAACTTTCATCGCGAGAAACTAAGAGCTATCGTTGTTGAATTCAATGAGATTGTAAGAAGATTTTTCAAGCATACATTTATATTAAAAATTCATTATTTTTTGTATAATATCATATTGTTTAAAAAATTATTTGCAGCATTTCATTCCTTAAAATTTTTAATTTGGTATTTTGGGATGTCTGCGTCAGTGGTGGTAAAACATTGTTTTGTATTCCAAATAGGTTTTTGGCAATTATTGGCGAAATTGCTAAACTTCATTTTAAATACGGCGATTATAAGCTAATGTTACCTAGGATAATAAAATGTTACCTAGGATATAAAAGCTGTTGTTTTATATAGATGATTTTCCCTCAGAAATTACACAAATTCCTGGTATTTTTGGAATACTCCTTTAATTAACTCCCTTAAGTTTCCATAATTCGTCAGGGTCGTCTTAAGAAAGGGAAATCTTGGATTATGTACATAGGGCAAACTGACCAAAATCTGGCCACTTCTTACTTATTTGTTTTAAATATAAATTCGCATAGCGTAATATAAACAAAACAATTTTAATATTAATAGGATATTCAAAGATGAATATAATTACAATTTTTTTTTTTAAATTAGGCTAGACAAGCATGCTTAAGCACCAATATTTTAGACGTACGCTAAAAGACCTATTTCTGGCCACTTGGATATAATTCTGGCCGGTTCTTACCTAATTCTGGCCATCGACCAGATTAAGGCATAATATAGAAATAAAAGACCGAAACTAAGCTTGTTTACTTATTACAAGTTTAGTCAGGTATACTAAGTAGAACATAGCAATAACTAGGATATTAAAAGATCAATATTCAAGTTAAAGACAATAAACAAAATAAAAACGAATAATTAAAACAAAATAAAGCAAAATAAAAACGAATAATGATTAAAAAAAAAATGTTTATCTTCATTTCTTTTGCAGTTATAAATTTTTTTTTTTCACTTTGTATTTTTTTTTTTTTGTTCTTGGAGTAATTTTTCTTCATTCTTTTTCTTTTTTAAAATAATATTTTCTTTTTTCTTTTTTTCTTGGAGTAACTTATTTTTAACTTCTGCATGTTTGTACTCCATAGCTTCTTTCGATGTTAGCAAAAAATATTTTTGTTTTAATGATGTTTTATTTTTTTTTATGATTTGTGTTGGATAAGGTAAAACATCAGAATCTGGATCTCCTGGAAAAGAATGATTTTGAAATGGAAAATTTTGATAGATATCTAAACCTCCTATCTCTTTTTTTCTTGTGACATCTTGATTATTAATATTACCAGAAATTAAATTAGTTGCTGGTGTATTAGAAATGACACTATCTTTATTATTATTATTAACAGAAACTAAATTAGTTACTGATGTATTAGAAATGGCATATGTATGATCAAAATTTAAAGGTGGAGATTTGTTAATTGCTAACGCTGATATAGAAAAGTCAACTTGTTCCTCATTTGTTGGATTTGATGGGTATTCCATAAACTCTTCTATTTCACAATGATCATTAGATAGTGATGTTAATTTGTCTATGTTATTCAATATGTTCTCACTTTTTTGATGGCTTTCTGACGACATGTATAGCGAATTAGGAATGTAAGCTTCGGTTGGAACTATATTTGGATCATATGGATAGATTCCACAAGCTCGAAAACCAGATTTAATATTATTTACAGTAACAGATTCACTCCAAGCCTGCTTCATCAAGCCACAAAAACTAACTTTCGAAACTAGTGTCCCAGGAAAATTACTAATCAAATTCTCACATGCTTTTCTGTAAGCTTTTTTGAGTGGGCCAAACACTGTCCTATCACAAGGTTGTAGCCAGTTGGAAGTGTGCGCAGGCAATTCAACAATGTGTATTTTGTTTGCCACAACCACATCTAATAACTCAACAAAGTTGTGTGAGTCATGTCCATCTAAAATAAGTAACTGAGGTCTGTCAGAACCAATATTTGGAAGAAATGACTTTGTAAACCAGAGAAATGCAATGCCCTGCTTTGTCCAACCACTGTCTGAAACACTCCATGTGCTTCCTTCAGGGGCATTTTCAATTTGAAAATTGCACAGAGATCTTATAGTTTTTCCTTTTACTATAAAATGTGGAGGAATAGAGTTACCGGTTGCATTAAAGCATGCTATAACAGTAATCGTTTCCCGATTACCTGAAGTACGACTATGTAGATACTTTACTCCTTTTTTAGCAATTATTTTTTCAGGGCGATAATCAAACTGCATACCAGTTTCGTCCATATTCCAAATGTTTTGTGGTTTATTATTTAAGTTGTTTTCCATTAATACATTTTTGAGAACAGAAAAATATTTTGAAACTTTAGAAGCATTCATACATTGATGTCTAATAGCAGCTGTTCCTTCTGGTTGACGTAAAGTAAAGTGCTTGTGCCTTTTGCACATTCCACGCCACCATTTTTCAGAAGGTGTTCCATTCTTAAATGATTTTTTATGTTTTAAAGCAAAGTTTTCTGCATATTTAAAAAATTGAGATCGACCGAATCCTATTCCTAAAGATGCACGATTGCATGCAAAATCTACTATTTTATTTTCTTCTTCTGCAGTTAGAGTAGTTGGATGTCCGGGTTTGGCTCCAATTTCGGTTACTCCGGATAGTCGAACTTGCAATGAACTTCTTGGAACGCCAAAAGTTTTACAAGCAGCTCTCTGTGAAAATCCATTTCTTACAGCTTCAACTGCTGATATCATAGATGCATTATTCCATAGACAGTGTTTTCCACGTTTACTTCTTGGCACTTTGATTTTCTTTGAATTATTTTTAACTATTTTATTTTTCTTCATTTTTTCCATTCTAAAGAAAATTGAAAAAAATAAAATTATTATGATTCTTGTGGCTAATGCTGTCTGTTTTTTACATTTATCTTACTGTATATGTAAGATTATATTATTAACAACAATAATATAATATTTATATATATATGTATATATATATATATATATACATATATATATATATATATATATATATATATATATATATATATATATATATATATATATATATATATATATATATATAAATTTATATATATAATATTTAGTTTACATTCATGATTTCACACTTGGTGTGGCTTAAATGGTTTTTCATATTTCATATTATCATAATATATCATATTTTATAAATATATATATATATATATATATATATATATATATATATATATATATATATATATATATATATATATATATATGTATATTTATATATATGTATATATATATATATGTATATAATATATATGTGTATATATATATCATATATATGGTATGTTACATGAAATCATTTCATGTAACATATATATTATATACATATATGTATACATATATATATATATATATATATATATATATATATATATATATATATATATATATATATATATATATATATATATATATATATATATATATATATATATAATATATATATATATATATATATATGTATTTATATATCATATATATACATATATTATAATATAATATATGTATATATATAATATATAAATACATATATATATATATATATATATATATATATATATATATATATATATATATATATATATATATATATATATATATATATATATATGTATGTAATATAATGGTACATGAAATGATTTCATGTAACATACCATATATATGATATATATATACACATATATATTATATACATATATATATACATATATACATATATATATATATATATATACATATATATATATATATATATATATATATATATATATATATATATATATATATATATATATATATATATATATATATGTATATATATATATATATATATATATACATATATATATATATATATATATATATATATATATATATATATATATATATATATATATATATATATATATATATATATATATATAAATTAAATAAAAATTATATAAAGTTATTGTACATATATATGGCCAGAATTGAGACTAATCATTGGCCAGATATAGGACAATCGCTAAAAATTATACTTTAATATTGTACATATAAATTTTCAAATAAAAAAGAATTATTTAACAATATACAAAATACGCATAAATACATATACAGTTTTAACAAAATTATATGCCAATATTACTTTCAGTTCAAGCGATTTACAAACGCATTACATTTGAATGTAATCATTACAAGTTTGAAAATTGCAAACATCGAGCTTACGGAAACATAAAACTTATGAAATGCTTTTAAAATGTTACTGAAGTATTAGCAAGTCGATATAAGAATTTAAAGTACATATTTCAAAATTACAAGGTTAAATTAATATATTTTTTATTTAAAACAGACCAATTCCATCCTCCATCAAATATTTTAGTGCTTCTGAAAATCGGCCAGAATAAGGACGCGGCCAGATTTAGGCCGCTTTACCCTAGGGTACATAATCCAAGATTTAAATTTAAAAGCAGGAGTCCGTTTTCTTTTTTGCGCGGATATTTTATGTAACTTAAATCGCTTTTAACTGTTTTTTTATAAAGTTAAAAGCTATTATCAGTGAATTTTACATACCGTGAACATTTTTTATTGTAGTCAAAGTTAGTTAGTTAGGAGTCGTGGGGGTGTAACTGCATATGAAGGCACACTTGTTTTTGAACATTTCCCTATGGAAAATATCATCTAATATAGTAAAACACATACCATGTATCGGTGAAACAGTTTCCATCATTTCGTTAACGTTAAAAAAATTTTTAAAAGTGCAGATTTAACGATTCAAGTGGTTTTAGCATTAGGCTGGTAATCCAAGGTTAGGACTTCCTACAGCACCTTAACAATATATAGTTTAAGGGCTGTCCATAAACAACGTCACGCTAAATTAAATTTTTGAATAGAAGTAGGAGATTATTTACACTCTTGCACTGATATTTCATTAAATACAAAACTCTGCGCAAGAGAGCTAATGATCTTTTCCTTCTATTTTAAGATACATTAAGCGCGACGTCGTTTATGGACTAGCCCTTATATACACTGCGCGATTTAATTATAAAACACTCCAAAAGTATTTATAAAACTCTACTTCACATTTCTAAAAATTAATTTTTATTGTAAATGAAAACGTAAAATAATATTTAAAAAAAATTATTTTAAACGTAACTTGCATTTTATAAAAAAACAACCGTTTTTTTAGTGCGACAAAATTATAAGACAAGTATACAAAAAACGTTTTATTTTCAAACCGCAGTTGTGGACAATTGCAAATATTTATTTAATGTAAACACCACAGACGATTATTTAACTGTAAACTGTTGTGAACGATCAAAATTGAATTTAGATTTTTTTTCATTAAGTATAAAATAACAAATTAATTAATAATGGATCGTGCTGCACCGTTGAGTCCAGGTGAGAAAAAATACTCCTCTAACTTATCGAAAATGGATCACTCCGTTTGTTACATGGCTTGTCGGTTAATTAAACCATGGCATTGGACGCAGCCGAACTGTGATTAAAAACTACTTTAATAGCCCTCATACGAATGGAATAAAAAAAGTTTCAAACGTCCATCAACATTAAGTGACCGTGATAGACAAAAGTTGTTGAGACAAGCTTCAAATTCTTCATTAACTGCACGTCGAATTGCTGCAGAAGCAGGTCTAATTGCTAATTTACCAACAGTTTAGCGAGTTATTCATAATGCTTTTTACCTTTCGCACAAAAAACTTTGTGCGAAAAGAAGATTTTCAAAGAGTAGTTTTTCTGACGAATAACTATTTAGTCTCGATGGGCCGGATAGATAGAATTATTATTTTTACGATTTGCATAAAGAACCAGTAGCAAAGCAATGGTGTCAAATGGGTGGTGGTGGTGTAATGATTTTGTGTATGATTGGGTATCATGATAATTCAGAGATTCATTTTATTGACGGAAAAATGAAGACTAAAGATAATCCTTTGTTTAAGAATTTTTACGACGTAAAAATTCTTAAAAAAAAGCATCTGTCATTGGTGGTGAAATTTGTTTTTTCAGCAAGACAATTTTTCAATTCAATTCAATTCAATTCAATTCAATTCAATTGAATTGAAAAATTAAGCCATGGCATTGGCTGTTCTTATAGTGTTCTTATAGCTGAAACAATAAAGGATTATTTCAACACCAGTAAAACTGAAACATTGATGTGGCCAGCTAGATATCTAGACCTAAACATTATTGAGTATGTTTGGGTACAGTTGTCAAATATTGTGTTTAAAGGTGGTAAACAGTATAGTTCACTAGCTGACTTGAAATTATCTATCGCATCTGCATGGGATGCAATTGATATTTCTTACATAAAAAAGATGTATGATTATTTACCTTTTAAAATGATTAAAGTGATTCAAAAAAATAGCAAAAATACCCATAGTAAATTTTTTAAAAATGAGACGTCTTTTTTTATTAACTATTTCCAAAAGTGTCATAATTTTGTTTCACTAAAAAAGCAGTTTTTTTTTAATGAAATGCTGCCGCGCATAAAATAAATTTTTTAAAATATTGTTTAGTCTTCTAAACCTTTTGCTCTCATTTACTATAAAGTTTACTATAAAATTAGTTTTTAAATATAAATGTATAGTAGAGTTTTATAAATATTTTTGGGGTGCCGTATCATTATGTTGCGCAGTATATTTATTATATAAATATATGTGTGTGTAAGGTGGTAGACTGCTAAAAAAACTATTATTGTTTCTGACAATATTTCAATTGATATTTTTACTTCTAACATAATAAATACATTTAAAAAAAATTAATTTTTTTTCGCCATAAATTTTGCGCAAAAAAAGGTGGTTATAGACCTAAAATATGTTAAAATATCCGCAAAGATATCTCAAAAAGCATAATGTATTAAGTTTTAATTTTTTTCAGTTTTATTCCTTTCATGTAGATAAACGTCCTAAAATAAAATTAGTTGAAAACGTCTTTACTTTATATATAAAATTTAAAATAATGAGTATCCAAACATATAAAAACAGGTTAAAATCCCTAAACACAGACCGTATTCAGGGATTTTAACCGTTTTTATGTCTCTCTTCGTCATTGTATTTATCATCGAACCCTTTACTAGTTGCTTTAAGTTTTTTTCTTTGTATTTTAAGTTCTTTTTTATTTCTTAACTGGCCGTTGCTATGAGCGTTGCTATGGAAAACAAAATTACCCTGCTTAAATAAATCTCCTTTACTAGTTCTAAATTTTTTTAATCATTTTAGACTCTGCAAGTGGCTGTTTAAAATAATGCAACTTTTGAAAAATCATTTTTTTAAAACCTTTTTAGCAGTCTACCTCCGATAATAAATTAGTAAAAAAAACAGACCAATAATAAGTTAGTAAAAACACTTAAAAATTTCACCAGATTCATTAAAAAGCCTTACTGATGAATCTGATAAAAGGAAAACAGACTTTGGATGAAATATAGATGAGTGTTTTTACTAGTTTATATATATATATATATATATATATATATATATATATATATATATATATATATATATATATATATATATATATATATATATATATATATATATATATATATATATATATATATATATATATAGCTAGAAACTAAGTGTAACTCGTTAAATACCATAGTACCGATAAGGTCATTGGTACTATGGTATTTAATGATTAGACGACGCACCAAATAATATTTCGGCAAGAAGAAAAAGGAATGATTTTTTATGGCAGAGCCGTGGTAAAGAGGTGTTGTATGAAAAAGGGGATGAAAAATGTTTTTTTTTTTACTAAATAACGGCCAAAATAAAGCCCTCTCTTTCTTGACATTTACCGACGAAGGGCGCAAACTGCTGACACTTTTCGACTGTTTCTTAGTTGGGGCGATCCTTAGTACGGCCCGGTGCTTCGGTAAAGTTATGAAATTACTTTTAATAAAACTTCATTTAATTTCTATTTTAATTACACCCTACACAAAATCTCTTTCTTCTTTTCTTCCAGCAATAAACGACAAAAAATATATGTAAATAAAAAAAAAGAAAAAACCCTAATGTATGGATTCACTAAACTTTTGCAACTTACGGGTTAACTAAAAATACGTTAACCATACGTTCATTTTTTCACTTAGGGATCGTCCATAAATTACGTAACGCAAACTTTCACAATAAACAAAACAAAAAGATCAAAAGTACCTATATTCTACAATAATCACTTACATTTACGGTTTATTCTTTTCATAAATCATTTCTCAAGTTAAAACAAATAATATGCACGAAATTCTTCTAAAATCTCAATATTTGTTATATTTAAGATTATTTGTTACTACTTATTTTATTAAGAACCTTTTTAGATATTTTTTAGAGCTATTTTTAATTGGGGTAGAATCAAAAAGTCAGTCAAAAATAGAATATATAGAAAAACGAATAAACAATAATCAAATTTTATTATAATTTTCTTAGCACAATTAAAGTAAAGGACGTTGACAAAAACTTGATTTTATAAAATTAACAATATATGATTTTTGATTAAATAACGATGAATTTAAACATAAAAATCATAACTAGCAACTCAAGTTATTGACAAACAATTTAATTTACGTCATTTGTTTATACAACATTTTTTTAAATATCAAAAGAAGTTGACTGAAATAAAACCTTTCATTGTCATTATTATAAAATCTTTCCTTGTCATTATTTTAAAACGAATAAAAAAACAATTATAAAACTTAAACATATGCAACTTCATTCTACTAGAAATGTTCTTAAGTTGCTTGTATAATTGAACTTCAAAAAGATTTAAAAAAAATCATTATCCATTAAAAATGTCTACTAAAAACGTTTATCACAATATTTTAATAAAATAAATGCAAGAAAATTACAAGTAAAATGTTACTCTAAAAGGAGGGGTAACTGACAAAATATGAAACTTGCGACAATGTAATGCAAGAAATGATTAAATAAATAATTCATAGTAAAATTACCATCTTATACAATAAGAAAAGTAAATTTTTGCTGACTGATTGTCTGCCTCACTTTATTCCATTAATATACGATATATCGAAATAAGCAACTACAGCTTTATATGCTATTAGCATATGCCATATATAATGTGTACAGATCTAAAATAAATTGTTTAATTTAATATAAAGATCAATATTCTTTTTTTTTTTCTATTACTCACCTCAGGGTTTTTTTTTTAAATTGTGATTACAACTCTTTCTCAACTTTTAAACTTTAAAATACGAAACCTTGACAAACAAGGCTGCTGCGTGTGGAAAATAAGTTCTTAAAATAACATTATTAATAAATTAGTAAAGAACATTTATCATACCTTCTAATTTGACTGACTTCGACTGTTATTGTACTGTGTGAAATATGGCATTTGCAAGTAGCATGTTGGTACAGAGCTATCTGAATGACTAATTCAGTATTCCATTAATGGAATGAACTGAAACAGACAATCAGTCAGCATACAATTCTTTATTCTATATATTCTATACTATAACGTAAACTGTTAAATTATTTAACTATTACTTGCAAAAATTTGATTTGATTTTAACAATGTTTTTTAATAAAATATATAATATATTTTCTTATGATGTGAAAAATAGTTAGATTTTCACGATATAAAAGATAGATAGATTTTCAAAATTATGTTCTAAAATAGCTATTCTCTAGTGCATTCTGATACAATAATTCTTTTTTCAAATAAATTTTTTTTCCGCTGATTCCAAATATGAATAAAAAATTGTAGATAAAAACAAAAATGTGTTTGTGTCATTAATTTAGCAGAATATTTTATATTCTGCAAAAAGCTATTAAACTGTTCGCAGATAGATGAATTGATTGGATAAAAATTCCCCAAACGATTACACCGAAAAACATCAGCACATTTATGTGTGTAGCCATGAAATACATCATGAAAAAAGGAGGTATTTTTAAAATAACCAGATTCACGGTTGTGACAAAACTCTGACAAGCTGCAAGCAAAGTCATACACAATATTTTCTGGAGCAACTTCAAGATGTGTATACAACGAGGCATGTGGATCTTTTCTTCCCTCAGACCCTGGGATAATATGGAATCCGTAACAATGGCCATGTATAGGGCAAAACCATAAAAAAAGAAAAGAAACACCTTTTTTAGATACTTGAGGAAACAATTTATTGCAGATTTCTGATGGAACATCATCAAACATGTTATTACTGGAACTTTTATCTGCAGAAAACACTCGCATTTTTCTTATTTGGCACCCATGCTTTTCAAAATAATATGCTCTACCATATCGCGGTGGATTATAAGTGCCTTCAATGACTTCTGCGTTATTTGGTTCAACATCACTAATATGAATTTTTTTCACAAAGTTACAGCAGTATTGTATTAATAGCAAAATATCTCCAGAAGGTGTATTGTTATAGTTAGAGGATATTTCAACTAACCTAGCTAGCTCAGGAGAGAAGCAACGCAATAAATAACAAAACTTAACAACAAGTTCACAATCACCTAGATTAGATAAAAATTGTTCACATATGCAAGCAACTTCATTAGTGAATCGTATTGGGACTAATGAATCAAGGGAGCTATCAGCAGCTAGTATTTTAAAAACTTTGGCATAGGAGCATCGCAAAACATTTGGGACAGGTGATTCAGAAATCATTAGCTGAAATGATGGTACACATTCAGCTGGAATATAACTCACAAGAACCGAATTCAACTTTAATGTATCAGAATCAAAGTTTAAATAATTAGAGTTTTCAACAGATAGAATATATAGACAAATCTTTTTTAAATGAGCTCTAGCCTCGGAAAACTGTTTAGAATCTAATTTTTCCGAATTAAAAATAAATGATCTATCTAGTCGCCGTAATGGTGTTGGAACAATCTCATAAAGTTCAGCTGACTCTATAGGTTTTACAAAAGAATTTTTTAAGCTAATTCCTATTTTTGTCGCATCGCAAGCTAAAACTGGTATTTGTTGATTTTCTGGACACATATGACATTTTTCTCTAAAATCAATGTGCATGTGGGAGGCCCAAGCAAAAAACCAATCAATAAATGTTTGTGTAGACATAAATGGCAAATAAGAGGTACTTCTACGTTTGTACTTGTTTGAATACAAATTGACAAAACCGCTGAATGTTCCTTTAGACAAAACAAAATCGACAAATTCCCAACCTGCAAGAAATTCAAAATTAAAAAATTAACTCAGTTTTTGAGCAAATGAACAGAACAACTTTTTTCGGTTTTACCTAGTTCATAACCAGCACAAGTGGATTTAGATAAGCAAAAAACAGAGTCTTCACAGCCATCCCAATAACTAATGCAAGTATTGGATAAATATTTTCTCAAAAAAACATCACACTCAATTACTTCACGATCTGTGTACATATTGATTTTATGGTAAAATTCTGTATAACCAGATAAAACAGATTCAGATACCCACCCAGCCTGTAATAAAAAAAATTTTAAATCATTGTCAAGCATTAAATCATCATTAATCATGGAAAAATTGAAGCAATTTTTGCAGTAGAATGAATAATTCAAATACTGAAGCAATACAAATGGATGCCCATTCTGGCATTAGTATATTTTGCAAATAATCAAATATTTAAGTTTGATTATTTAAGAAATTAAAAAAATAACAATAGTTTTATAAATAAAGTTTGTATTAAAAGATAAAAAAAAAAATCGTGTTAATTAAAATAAAGAATTTAAATTCTTATTCTAATAAAAGTTACTTCATTAATTTGAGTCAAAGTATTCTTTTCTGTCTAATCATAAATCGTAAACTTTTATATATATTAAAAAAAGTATGTAAAATAACCAAAATAAATAAAAATCTTCTATTTTTTAAAAGCTCTCTTTCTCTATTTTACAAAAAGATAGTACAAATCTTTAGTTTAACTAAATTTAAAATAAACTAAGTTTAGCTAAATTTAAAATAAAGTTATGATATATTGTTACAATATTAACAAATTAATAAATAAAATTTTAAAAATTACCAGAAAAAGCTCTTGATCTAACAGTTCATATCTTTTAAAAAAAAAAATAATCGTTGTGCAATCTTTTTAGACTTTTTAACTCTCTATAAAACCATTCATTGTTGTCTTTATTCTTGATATGTACTTAAATCATTTTTTTTGGTGAAATGACAAGGTACTTATATTGTTGAATTTGAAGTAGTTCCACATGTTGGTCAAATTGTCATTTATATTGTAGTGTATGTTAGTGTTATTGAATGCGTTGGATGAGTAACACATATATGTGTACACACAAATATATATAAATACAAGCATACATACATAAACCTAAATACTTTTATGTATTTTGATTTTTATTTCTAATCACTTTAGATAACTAACTGTGCATAATTTGTTTAAAAATTGCTGTTGTTTGGTTCTAATTGTTATATATATATATATATATATATATATATATATATATATATATATATATATATATATATATATATATATATATATATATATATATATATATATATATATATATATATACACATATATATATATTCAGTAACTTTTGTTGATTTTGTTACCTGGAATAGAATTGATGTGAAGTATAAAAACGATAACAAAAAAGGAAATGCTAATTACAGGGTATACTGATTGATTTAAATTACTTAAAACTAACATTTCAGCATCCATGCAGGCAAAGTTCTATTTTGAGTAGAAACAGTATTTCAGGAGCTAGGTACTTGACTCAAGTCAAATAGTAAATGTGCTTTGATTTCCCATAGCACATTGCAACCGAGTGAACCCTGGTTGTTGGATGTTAGTAACTACCAGACTATTTGAATATACCACAATTATTATTTGGTAAATTTTTTTACTTGTAAAAACATTTCATTAAATTGAATCAACTATTTTTAACTTAAAAAAAAAAAAATGTTCTTACACCACAGTCACAGTTGTCTAGATCAACAGAAGGCATAAAACAATATTCATTGGTAGCAGACTGTCTTTTTACAATGTCATTGCTAAATTTTTCATTAAATTGGTCATTGGAAACAGTTTTTTTACTTGGGGCATTAATTCCAAATGTCCACAAACCAGATGCTACATCAAAAACATCTTCCCACTAATTAAAACAAGAATTTACACAACAAATTTACGCTAAAGCCAAAAATAAATAAAAAATTTAAACAACTAAAAACCTTTTCCCTTGGTAGATTATCCTCTAACACAGAATCAAAAGAGATCACTTTATCATTGTCATTACAAAATGATTCTACTGTGTTTTCAACAAGATAAAAATATTCTCTAAAGACTTTAAGATGTGGACATAAGCAACCATTGTGTAGATTATTAATTTGACGAGTACTTCCTTCAGATATTTGACATAATGAATCATGACATTTTATTACTTTGCGAGATGATTTTGAAATTTCAAACACTGTAACAAAAGAACATGAATCAGCAACTACCGAATATCTTTCAACTCCCGATTTTGAAGTTAACTTAAAAACATTTGATTTGAGATAGATTAAACTATCCATAAGTTTTTTTTTGTTTAATAAACTATTTTCTGGGATGAAATCAGGATTATCAAGCATTTGCATTAGCTGGTTTAACAGACGACAATGACAACAATTATTTACATTGGTCAAATTTTCTGATTGAAAAAAAACACATGATGAGAATGTTTTACAGGAGCAGTTGTATATTGTAGTAGAACACATTGTTTCAGCTTTTACATGAACAAATTCTTTATCCTTATTTAGAAATAAATTTTTAAATTGTTATAACATTAAACATATTACTTATATATTACAATTACATATTACTACTATATTTATATACTGTTAATAAATCTATTTGCATAAAAAAACAAAATTTAAACCTACTTGAAAGTTCCCGTTCTCGTGATTGTAGTTGTTCATAACACATATACTAAGAGACGGTTTTCGAACACGCCAACAAAGAACGCCATGACTAAAAAGTTCAGCACAAAAGTATTCATAGAGACTGTTTCTTTTACTTAAATGCTGAACCAAGTTAACCTGAAACAAAAATTGTTGTTTTCTGCAAATTATTTGGAATAAAATATTTGAAAAAATATAAAAAGTAAAGAAAAAAGTAGATTTAAAAAAAACTTTTAACGTATCTTTTTTTGATTCTATTTAATTGCTATTCAAATTACCTCATTAATAGAATCTGTGATGCCAATATTGTTTGTAACTACTTTTTTTCCACAATGCAAATCATTATATTGAAACTCCTACAACAAATCGATAAAGAAATTAACAAATAATAAAAATTATAATAAACCTTTTTTCTTAAATACTAACTTGGTCAAGAAAACTTTCTTTAGATATCCTACTCTTTTTTGCTTTTGACACTATTAGAGATAAGTTTTCTTTTCTAGATGGATATACAACTGTCTCTTTAACACCAAAAACATTTCTTAAAATGGATACAATAATGTTATCAGAGGTAACTCGATAAAAAGAGGCTTGAAGAATTCTGTTTCTGGGTGAACCAGGAAAATATCTGCATGAATTTGAAAACTTCTGTTCATATTTTACACCTTTAACAAGTTTATCCCACATCCATTTATGATGGTTAGGAAGATCTGACAGAATTCTGAATTGGTCTTCTATTGATGGGTTTTCTATTAAAGAAGTCCAAAGTTTTCCATACCTTGAAGCTCCCTGGGGGTTACTTCGGTGAAGCATAAGCGAAGTCTTATTCTTCTGCTTTTTCTGAAGGTTGGCAAATGAAATACCTAATAAAATTAGTAGATAGATAAATAAACCAATCAATTCAGAAAAGTTTGTATATAAAGAAAATCATTAATGTTAAATATAATTTCTTATGTAAAGTTTGAATTATAGATGTTGAGAGTTTAAGTAAGTATTAAGCATAGATCTTAAGCCTTACTTAGTCTTGTTAGGAAATATACTATTAAATATTATATACTATAATTATGTATTGCTGCATATATTTAATGTAATTATATCAAATTAGAAAGAAAATACAGAAAATCCAGTATCATACTTTTTTGTTTCCTTGATTAACACCCTCCCACAATTGGTCTTAAAGAAGACACGCAGCAATTAGATGGTAGCAAACGCAAAAATTGTTTTTATCAAGCTCAATTATTAGTTTTTTCAAACTCTCATTTAGGCCACCTTTGCACTCATATATCAAACGATTAAAAGTTCTGCTTTTGTGAATACGACTTTTGCTACCTATAAAAAAACCTAACAAAACATTGTCTTTTTAATTTTAAGTAAATACAAAAACTAGGTTTTTAGATAAATTATGTGTGTGTATATATACACACACACACACGCACACACACACACACACACACACACACACACACACACACACACACACACACACACATATATATATAAAAATATACATATACATATATAATTATTGTGTATTAATTTTTTTTTAAGGCAAAAAGAAATTTGCATTCTGACAAAAAATCCGTAAGGGATCGTCCATAAATTATGTACCGCAAACTTTCACAATGAACAAAACAAAAAAGATCAAAAGTTTTCCCTCGCAGAGTCTTAATTTAAATAAAATCAAAATACCCCAATAAGTTAAATGAAAATTGTAAAAAAGCTTAATATCTACTACTTTTGTTATTTAAATATATTTTGCGTTGCATAATTTATGGACAATCCCTAATCAAATACCACTCTTAGTTCTGTGTCCAAAAGTTTCTTTTTTTAATGCAAGTTCCATATCAACATCCTTTATTGTAAATACACAATATGGAAGAATTTCATCAACCATTAAATCTTTTTTCAGCTTTCCATGTGCAATATTATCAAAGTATGCAGTAAAACTGCCAAACTCAAAATATCTAATGATCAAAAAAATTAAAAAAAGTATAAAATAATGTGAGATTGGAAAAGAAAATTGTAATTAGAACAAAGAACTAGAAAATTAAAAAAAGTAATAAGAGCCAGCAATAAACATTTTCTAAAATTTTTTTTTTGAAATGAATCTACAGAAAAAATGTTTTAAAGTGACCATTGTTTAGGAGAAAAAGAATGCCGTGTTTTTCAAGGGAAAGAAAATACTTGCTGAAAGTAAATTCAAAAAAATACCTAGCCAAATAAGTTTCTTTTCCTAAAGCATTAACTTTAATTAAAAGGCAGTAGAAAACTCCATCGACATTGCCATGACTACCAAGAGATAGTAAAGATTCTTCTACCTGAAAAATCGGAGGAACCATAATGATATTGTGTACCAAAGCATTTTCAACTGCAATGCTGCTACCACATTTACTTAAATTCTTCATTGCTATCATTACTAAATAAAACCTTTAAATCCAGTTTTGTTTTATAATTAAGAATACATTTAGGGGACGTTAGCACAAAAAGTTGTTTTTACAACCACCCAAATATATATATAATATATATATATATATATATATATATATATATATATATATATATATATATAATATATATATATATATATATATATATTAGGGTGTGACATCCACATTCATACCGTGACATACTTTTGAAAAACTTTTTTTATGTAATATTAGGGACCTGGTAAGCGTTCATGGATCTGGTTATCCCCCTAAATCCAATTAAATTTTGAACAAGTTTAACAAAGTTGCTTATCAGAACCAATAAAAAATTTAAGGAATATGAAAAGATATTTTTTAGAAAATAGGTGGCCCATATCACGCCCTAATATATCAACCCTTGGCATTAGGAAAAATGATGTTGCCAATTAACTACCAGGGACAGGTTAGGGATTGAACTTGGAACTTTTTGCTTATGAGGCGAGCGCTCTACCACTATACCACTACCGCATATATATATATATATATATATATATATATATATATATATATATATATATATATATAATATATATATATATATATATATATGTATATATATATATATATATATGTATATATATATATATATATATATATATATATATATATATATATATATATATATATATATATATATATATATATTTTTTTTTTAATTTTACTTCACCTCCTCAAGGCCGAGAAGGCCACTACAGACGAGGAGGCTACTTATTTTGTGGCTATAACCCTCTCTCAACTCTATAACTCCGAAACACGAACCTTGACGAACAAGGCCGCTGCGCAGAGAAACGAGTTGAGCGCGGTACTACCAGGGACGTGGTGGGGATCGAACTCGGAACCACTCGTTTATGAAGCGAGCGCTCTACCACTACACCACTACCGCATACGCACTACCACTACACCACTACCGCACTACACCACTACCGCACTTCTCTTAGTCTTCTGCAAGTTTCTTTATAACTACATTGTATTATCATAATATATTAATATATATTTTCAACGACAACCACAAGCAAGCCCCTAGTAGCCCTGTGGTGCGACGGACTTGCATATATTTTATAAATGCATGGGTTAATAGCCAGCACTTTGTATTATAAACCACAATTAAATAAATAAATAAATATTAAAAAAAAAATATATTTTAACTCACTTTCAAACGCGATTGCGTAAAAAAACATAGTTACTCTCTTTAAATATTGTAAATATGTGTGGTGGACATTTATACAAACTGGAGACATGTAAATATTATTTATTTTTGAAATATATAATAATGATTGTTGTTAAAAAAAAAAAAAAAAAAAAAAAAAGTTAATATGATAATAACATTGAAAATCCGCCAATTCAAACAAGCAAAATCTATTGGTACTCAAATATGTTTTAAGCAAAAAAGAATTTTGGAGAATAGACACTTTTATAAGAAAATTGTTTACAAAAATTAAATATTGAACATCGATATATTTTTAAGCATATATTTTTTGTACTTATTTTTTAGCAATTATTAATTTATCGCAGCCGGCAAATAACGTTGAAATAACGTTGAAATATCGTTGAAACCTAACGTTGAATTTACGTTGATACAACGTTTAAAATGATAGTTTTTTTAACGTTAATTTATCAACGTTAAACGACTGTAAAACACTTTTTCACCATTAAAGCGTGCTTTGTATGTCAAAATGTATATATGTATGTAAACGTGCTATGTGCGTCAAAACATGATCACAATCAAAACGTACTTTGCATGTACATTAGTGTTGCTGTACATTATCAAGGTATATTATGGATATTAAATCTATTCATAGTCTATACTTAGACTATTTAGAACTTTTTCAGTTTAGTTTAGTTAAAATAACTAGGTATGATAAAAGAAAGAGATAAAACTTGTTTTATTCAAAAATACATATTCAAATATTACATATATTTATATGTAATTGAATAAAATCTACACAAATTTCTTCTCTTTTCCACCACATTTTTGAAATAAAGCGTAATTTAGAAAGTCAAACAATATTCCATTAACCGAGGGTCTTTTGGTCCACTGAATACAATATAAGAAGCTGTATTTAAAAAAATATATTAAAAAAAACAAAAAGGGAAGATTTAAAAAATAAATAATCAATGGAAAAGTGTTACAACTTATGAAGGTATATCTTTTTCAACGCCATATAGATTAGTGTTCTTAAAACATACTTTTGACTTTAGAGGATTTTAGAGGAGCTGCAGACACCCTGATTATAAATGAGGTAACTCCACCAATTAACTGTAATTGATTTATCTGTAAAAAAACATGAAGTAAATCTAATATTATGCTTGTGGAGATATATTATATTGTGGAGAACCATCCAAACCACACAAGTGGAAAATTTGCATCCAAGTTTCCACTTGTGTGCAAATCTTGCATCCACTTGTCAACATTCTCATTATCACATTTTTCTTTTGTAGTTGTGAATTTAAAATTTTCACAATACTGTTTGCTTTCTTTTAGAATTGAAATAGTTATACAAATAGTTATATATTTTGTATCAACAAAATAACTCTTCTTACCAAATTATTTAAAAAATAATAATTGTAATATATAGATGTAATACCTGGAGAGAATTTAGTTTTTATTTGTATAAACTTAAGCCAATTCTTCTCTGCATTTTAGTGCAGTCAATGCTTTGGTACCTGGAAGCCGACAAACAGTTTTATCACTAATCCAATCAGATGGAATTACTTCTTCTTGTAAATCTTCACTCCAAACAGCTCCTTTTTGCATATATATATATATATATATATATATATATATATATATATATATATATATATATATATATATATATATATATATCACCTATTGTGTAAACTTTACTGTATAATTTTCTGTTTTTCTGGTTTGTAAATAATAAAGTAAATACAAAGGTGGTAAAGTAGTCCAAAATCAAGGTGCCTGTTAAGAACAAGTTATTTCTTAACAGGCACCTTGGATGTATTGGATCAAGCGCAATATATCTATATATCTATATCTATATACCTATATCTATATATCTATATCTATATCTATATATCTATATCTATATATCTATATATTTATATCTATATATCTATATCTATATCTATATATCTATATCTATATATCTATATCTATATATTTATATCTATATATCTATATCTATATCTATGTCTATATATCTATATATATATACATATATACATATATATATATATATATATATATATATATATATATATATATATATATATATATATATATATATATATATATATATATATATATATATATATATATATATATATATATATATATGTACAGAATGCATGATAATATGCATAAGTTTTACCTTTTTTGTCTTCATCTTTTTCTACATTAAAATCCACACTACATTCTTCTTCCAATGGAATCTGAATATAATAATGATGCAATTTATTTATCAATTTATTGAAGTTTTATTTATCAAAATTATATATCATCTGTCTCAAAAACCAAGATAAAATTATGGAACAAATAAAATTGAACATTATATTTCTTCATATAACTGGCATAAATTAGAAAATTAACACATAAAATACACGAATTTTAAGGAGCTAACATTAAATGATAATAATTATATTATAATTAATAACAACTATATAATATCTTCTTGAATTATTATATGATATCAATAATAATGAATAATAATGAAATAACTAAATAATAAATGTATTACTAATAAATTTTATCAACATGATTAAAAAATAATACCACATGATCAATTATAGTCTGGCTTATTATACTACTATTATCTTGAACGGCAAATATATTAATTGGATTATTGAGATCCATTGTTAAGGATATGAATTGTTAGTAGAAAATAATTAAAGATCTTTTTACTAAAAAGATCTTTTTTTTTTAGTTTGACACTAAAAATTTTAGTGTCAAACTAAAAAAAAAAGTAAAAAAATTAAATATAGAATCAGTATAAATTATTAAAACAATTTTAAAAATCATTTTTTAAAAACTAAATACATTATATTAGTTGATATTATTAAAATATCAAAAATTACAATTATAATTTCATAGGTATTATGAGAACTTGAGTTAATTTTGTGATATAATGTTAGGAAAACTTATAAAAATTGTTTATCTATGTAATTATGCCTGATTTTAACTATCCTAATAATATCAACTATTATCAATATATTTAAATATTTAAATATTTGTATATTTAAACTATTATCAATATATTTAAATATTTATAATAGCAATAAAGTTTATTGTAATAATGAACATACAAGTATTTAAATATATTAAAAATAGTTGACATTGTTAGGATACCAAA